GCTTCTGCTTTTGGGTTTTCTTCACAGTGCTTTCTGTCCAGTAATCTCTTTTGGAAATCAGAGTGCAGAAAAAGAATAATGGCAAAGCCCGCTGTGGAAAGACTGTGTCAGTTATTCACTATACACATGCAGAACCAAACTGAGTGAGTTGGAGTGTTTGTCTTGCACTGTAAAAGTGCACAGAGCACCATATGCTGATTAAAAAGGGGAAGGGCAGACTCTTTTCCAGAAGACAAATGTTTGACAGTGCAGATCACATCCTTTAGAAAGCAGAAAAAGAGCCCTGTGAGGGTGTAGACGTGCAGTGATCCCATCGGGAGCACTGGAGCCTGTGCAGGTGTTGCCGTGCTCTGCTCAATGGGTGTACCTGGCTGCTGCTCGTGTGCACGTATCCTCTGAAACCTGGGTGTGAGCCAGGGAATGGGGGTTGATTTGGGATTGGTTCTGGTTTGCTGTAAATAATTGAACTGACACAAGGTTTGCTGACCTGAAACCAGCAGCCGCTGTTCCTGGAGTCCCAGGATGGAGCAGCAGCAGTGTCATTTGCTGTGCAAGTCGTGCTTTGGAGAAGGTGGGCTAGGAAGTAGCAGACAAACAGAGGAATTGGGGAACAGAGCCTAGAGGGAGGTGGGTTCCGGTACTGACCCGAGCTGTGGTTCTTAGCTTTTCTTTTTATGACCATTCCATCTTGCCAATTTGGCCCTCTTTCCTGGCCTGGCATGGAGGATGCTAGTAAAACATGACTGTGGTTCAAGCCCAAGTGAGCAAATGGATCTGTAGTTCTGATTGGTCTTGAAGTACAGATTTGAATGCACAAGCAAGGGTGAGCAGAAGTCGAACAGCAGATCCTGTCTGTCTGGGAAATGTAAAGTGATAATAATGCCAGAAACACTGGGAGGTGGAATAACAAAGGCAGTGTCCAGCAGACAGCACTTCTGCCAGGGCTGAGTCTGCAGAATTGGCCGGTCTGAAGAAGTTGGGACTGAGTCTGTGGTCTCTGCCCATCAGCAAGGTTTGAATTTGGGATCACCAAATTTCCCCCCTGCCTCCTTGGCCAACTCCCATGTAAACATGGAGATAGATCCATCTCCTTGAGTAGGCTGTGATTTCTTTCTGTGGTGGTTTAGGAATGTGATGGAAGAGCTCAGGATCTCTGTCCTCTTGCACACCTTGTGCTTGTACAATGGAACTTCTCAAGCTAGGACCACGTTCTGCAGCAGTCCTGCAGTGAGGGATGTCCCTTCAGAGCTGGGTAGCATCGACTAGATCAGCATCATAGCCATTGTCACTGCAGCAATGGGATCATTCTGAACACACTCTCCAGCTGCAGATGTCCAGGACTTGATCTTATTTTCTGTCTTCCATGCAGCCAGCCAGAGAAAGGGTTGACCCAGGCAGAGGGACCAGAAACTGTGAAAAGCTTGAGCTTTTTCTGGCTTTTCATAAACCTTCCTTAGAAAGAGGTTTATCTGCATTGATCAATTGGTGGTATCTTGTAGGTGATAGTCTGTGGATCCCTCTGTGCTGAGGTACTGAGCCACAGACTGTGCAGCTCATCAAGAGGGGAAGGTTGCTCAGCACTCTGCAGGATGGGGTTTGAAGTGGTTACTGAATCACAGAGGACTGAGCTGTGTCTGTGTCGTGGTTTATACCATGCTTCCCATGTGCCTTCAGCCACGTTCCTGTCTCCCCTCGGTCCTCTGCTCCCCATCCTGCTCTTGACAATTTGGGACCTTTTATGTATGGTGTGTGGCCACGTGCCAGCACCTTCCCAGTGCTTCCTTTTTGCCTGATGCCCAAGGCTGCCGGGCTTCTGCACATGGGTGTTTGGGCACTGCGGTAACCCCTGCAAGTGCTAGATATTGCCAAATAAGCGAGCACTGAGCGTGTTGCAGTGCACTAGATAAGAGGGTGCATGCTCTGAGGCAGGTTCACCTTCTCTGCCATCTCTGGCTGCTGTCTGGCTTCTCTCTGGCATCCCCTGATTGTGAGGTGCTGTGGGCTCAGCCATGTGGGTCACGTGAGGTAACTTCAGTGCATCTCCCACCTTTCCCCTCTAGGAAGAAGTGGCACGAGCAGCCTCTGCCCAGGGATGTGCTTGTCCCAAACACCTTCCTTCCTGTGCCAGATCTCTGCCAAGAAATTTAGGCTCAAACAGCCCAAAGTTCTTTGCCTCCCCCATTGCCATAAAGTTGTGACTCTTGTGAGAGGCACATCCCGGTGTTCCCCTGGGAAGCCCCTGCCCGTTCCCTCCCCCGAGTGTTGATGTCCAAGTCACCGGCTGCTCAATGTGCTCTTGAAATCTGCTCCTAGATGCTTATTTCCACTGCTGCAGCTGAGCATGTGCTCACTACAGGTCACCGGGGTGCTTCTGGAGCCTTTCTGCCGTGCTGTTCCCTTCACTTCTGAAATCCCAGTCCAGTCCTTGCTGCAGTCAGGTCTCAAAGCTGAGACACCTCCAGTCAGGACCCCAGCACAGCGTAAAGCTCTTTCACTGCTCACACTTCCCTCTTCCTGCAGCCTTGTTAACAGAACTGCAATGTAACGCCTGTTGTAGTGGAGATGAAGTGACTTCTGGGTACCCCTGAGTTTGAAGGCATGATGTGAGACGTCTTAAAGCAACACAATTCATAGGGAGTGCTGAGTGTGTGTCAGAACTGAAGGCCCTTGAAATTACCAGTTACTGCTGGCTGATCCTGCTGTTTAGGAGCCCACAGGCTCCTTCCTGAGGAAGCACCTCCTATAAGAGCCAAGGAGAGATGGAGGGTGGGAAGCCCATCTGCATAATCTGATGAGCATTAAACTAACCAAGGCAAAAGCCAAGGAACTGACTTAATCTTCTGTGATCTTTTCCCCTCCCTCACGTGGAGGTAAGTTAAGGACACATCTCCCAGGCTCAGGATGTTGCTGGGACTGTGCTCCAAGTAACAACCATGAAGAGCAAATCTGTGTGAAATCAACAATTTGTTAGGCAACAAGGGCAGAGCTGCAGTGTGCCACATGGGCACTCACAAGCCAAATTCCCTCTTGCTGCAGTGAAGTGTGTTTCATCCCCAAGGCTTGAGGTGGTGACATGGTGCATATGGTGTGTGCATGCAGGGCAGTACTGGCTGACAGAGCAACTCATCTGTCCTCTAGTCGTGGTCTCAAATCACAGATCCCTTGAGTCTGAAGAGCTGGCGTGGAGCTGGTAGGTAGTGAGAGCTGCCCAAGGGTCAGTCCCTGTCTGGGGCTGTGGAGGGGAAGGAAGGCAGAGCAGGAGGAACTCCTGCAAGGAGCCTGTGCAGGGAGCAGCGCATGGTGCAGCAATGGGAAGGTGCCTGCCTCAGCCCCGCTGGCTCCCTGTGACCTGCCTGGCTGCTGGCTCCATCCTGCTGCCACCAAGTGCTGCTCTGTGGGGCTCAGGGCTCACCACCGTGGTGTCAAGTGTGAGTTATGAGCACCAGCTCTGCGAGGTAGGAACGGGGTCTTGCTGTGTGTCTGCAGTGCCAAGTACCAAGGGGCTGTGGTCTCTGCACAGCCCCCATGCGCTACTGTAGTGGAAATAATAACGTGGAGATAAAGCTGAGGTCAAGGAAAATCTCTTTAAACTCGATAATTTTCCCTGATGGGAAGATTTATGTTGCTGTTTCTGGGCTGGAGTTGTGCCAGGCTTTGGGCAGTGTCCAAGTCACTGCACAGTAATACCATGCCAGTGGGAATGGAGTAGTTGGGCTCATGTGCTAACTTGATGCTTACCACCTTCTGATTCTGCAGTCATCAGGACCCCAGCCTGCCCTGCAGGAGCAGCCCCGGGCAGGGAGCCCGTTGGTGAGCAGCAGCTCCCTGGCACAGTGCACGGCTCCCGGTGCTCTGGAGCTGCCTTGAGGATGTCTCCACCGCTGCAGCCAGGTCCTCCCGCCAGCACAGGGAGTTATCCGTGTGCTCGCCCCATGCCAAGTGTCTGCCCTGAGTGACCCCTGTGAGCAGCTCAGGGAAGGAAAACCCCAGATCCTTCCAGCCTCACTGGGTTCTCGAGGCTTCCTTTGGCTGAGGGATGTGCCAGACCCCGCGGCTCTGCTGGGTTCCACGCTGAGGGTGCAGCTTAGCACAAGCGAGCAGACTGACGCTCCAGAGAAGCAGGATTTATTTGGGAGTTTGGGTTTTGCTTTTAATTATCCTCCCAGACTGGGATGAGTAAGAAGGGGCAGAAATGCCCAGTGTGGAAGCAGTGTACGCTCGTCATGAGGGACAGCAAAAGCCTGTGCTTGAAACTGTGTTATCAAAACCGCACATGTGCAAGTGATGTGTGTGCCGGGGCTGGCTTTGGCAGCCTTCATCCCAGGCTTGTTCAGTACCTGCTCAGTGATGTCCTGGTTCGCAGCTGGGCTCCGTTATAGTTCAAATAATCACTGATACCAGTGCTATTCCTGTAGATGAAGTGCTTAGCCTAGAACTGTGTGTTTGGATTCTGCCTGTAGTTACAGGCAGTCTGTGTAAGCCGCCTGGGTTTGTGTGCGAGTCCACTCAAGTGCCACGTTGGATGTGACGGGCAGTTGGGATGTCAGATGGTCATGCCTCTTGTGTTCCTCATGTCATATGTCAGGGCTCACAACTCCAGCAGAGACAATACAGTGAGGTTTACATGGAATTGCAAGCTGTGGGTTTGCTAGCTTGGATCAGCACGTTCATGGGTTTCTGCATTACATCCTAACTGTATTCCTTAACCGTATTCTTCTGCTACCTCATGTGTTTTCTTTGCACAAAGATGCTCTCTGAACCAAATAACTGATCCTGTGAAGCTTACTAGTTCTCTGCAGGCTTTGAATTTGACAATTGCTGTTCCACTGTGTCTTGGGTCCTGAACTGTGCCCTTTGTCAGTATGGTGTCTCACAGGGAGCAAAGCAGATGGAGTAAAGAGCCTGAGTTCAAACTCTGTCAACAGCAGAAGTGTCTTAATGTGCCTAATTCAAGTGAGTATCTGTACTTACGCATTGTCCTCTTCTCTTGTTTGATCTAGGCTGTATGACTGGACCCTGGAAATGGGATGTCAGTCCCATTCAGGGAGCATAAAGGACGAAGGAAGGTTTCCCGGTTGCTGCGGCTGTGACAGCGCGTGAGAGCCAGCGCAGGAAGATGTCTGCGGTAACGGCAGCAGTCCCGGCTCCGCAGGGCCCTGTCAACCCGCCGCCTCCGGAGGTCACTAATCCCAACAAGCCCGGCAGGAAGACCAACCAACTGCAATACATGCAAAACGTGGTGGTGAAGACCCTGTGGAAGCATCAGTTTGCTTGGCCTTTCTACCAACCTGTTGATGCAATTAAATTGAATCTGCCGGTGCGTATCTGTCATCTCCTGCTTGGCATCCTGCTCTTGGACAGCTTTCTGCTGGGGAGAGCAGTCTTCTGGTTAGGTTGGATTTGGGCATCCCTCAATGCTCTAAGATTCACTGAATTAGAAGCTCGCTCAGAGCTGGAGAGGTGCAGGTTCCTGAAGGAGAAAGCTGCTTCACTTAAACACAGCACCAGTGCCCCTGTCACCCTCCTGTCAGCTCAGCACAGCAGCCCCCTGCACACTCAGTCTGGCTGCTTGGGTTTTGTGGGATTCAGGGAGCATGTTCTGGGATGTAAGGTCAGGAGAGCTCCAGTGACAAGTTATAATCCAAATATGTGGACTGGACCAGGAGTCTTTTGACCTGTGTGATGCTGTTGCTGGGTGCTAACCAAAAGAGCTTCACACCTGTAGAACACTTTTCTAAGTCAGTGCTCATTTGTGTTTTCTCTTTGTGGAGTTAGTTTCTCAGTGAGGCATTTTGAGGTGGTTTTAGGGAAAGTTACCAGGAAACAGCGGGGAGTCAGTTGGAAGAACAGTTTTCCATGTGTGACCTGAGTGTGCACCAGCCCAGCAGCCGGCAGGATCACCTCTCCTGCCCTGGCATGCCTTGCCTGGAAGTACCAGTGCTTCAAATCACGCTTGAGGGCTGAGCTCAGCAGCCGGTGGCTGTACGTGTGCTGCCTCTCTAGCATGAGAAGATGACAGAGCACAGCCTGGATCACTTCAGGCCAATCACAGCATCTGTGTGTGCTTGAGACCAGCCCAGAGAGAAACTGGGTTAACACGTGGAAGCCTTTTAAGTGCTAAAATGCCCTTAAAAGAGAGACTGAAACTTAGGACAGTCTGAAGTGACACCATCCACCTCCTAAGGGCGGTCACAGCATGAACAGCTTCCAGGCAGAGCTGCTCAGAACGTGTGTTTTCCTGACACGTTACTCCTAGTGCCTCCTCAGTCCAGCTGTCCTTACTAAAGGCAGATAACAACCAGGTAGCCATTTGTGTGTGTGCTTGAGCAAGTACTAGGGGAGACTGGTGCTTCGTAGTCAAGTTCATAATAATGATAGCTTAAAAAGCTACAAATTAGGAAACAAAGGAAAGCAGAGGTGATATTTACAGCTTGCAGAAAACCTTGTGGTTGGGTTTTGGGGAGGAGGGATGAGGAGAAACTTGGGGCTGTAGAGGGAGGTGTGAGCAGCACTCCATGTATCAGGAGCTATAAATAGCATCCTTCCTCCTTCTCCAACAGGATTATCACAAGATCATAAAAAACCCTATGGACATGGGGACGATCAAGAAGCGCCTGGAACACAACTACTACTGGAGTGCCAGTGAATGTATGCAGGATTTCAACACCATGTTTACAAACTGTTACATTTACAACAAGGTAAAGAGCCCAGACAAGCCTTTAACTGGGGCACTGCCTAGAAAAAACCCACCTACGACTGTTGGAGTGTGGGTTTTGAGCAGGGCCGGCTCTGCTGTGTATTTGCAAGGGTTTGAAATGTCACTAATTGCAAGCACATTACTTGAATGCACAAAGCTGTCTTTGTGCTGTGGCTTTCTTCCCCCAGACCAGTTAAAAGGGCAAACGTGCCTTTTAATTCTAGGTAGGTTTCTGTTCTGGGGTTATGTAGCAAGTCTTTAGTGATTGTATTTTCAGTTAGGAGCCCTTTAAGATGAGCTATGGTTTATGCAGTGCTTTGCAGATGCTCTGCAATGTCAGTGCTATGTGTTACACTGGCTGTCTACCAGTAACTAGTATCTTAGCAGCAGAGAGCAGTTCAGGAAGTGTAAGTCTCTTCTCTGCCTATGTCTTGTCTGTACTTGTGCACCTTCAGATGGGTTGCTATTTGGGGTTTGGCTTGCTTGCTGCTTTGTTAGGTTGTTAAAAGCCGCTGCTCTTTGTGTTTGTATTTTCTGCAGTGGTTTGTCATCGCTGACCTATGCTGGGAACAAGCTGAAATAAACAAATTCATTAGCTTGAGCCACAGAGTGAGTGTTCACACTCCTGCCCTGGCCTTGCTGGCAGCAAGGGGGACAGCTCATCTGGTCCAGTTTGCAGCTCCACGCTGTGGCACAGGATGCCGGTTACCTGGCTCCTGCAAGTCCTGATAACTCTCTGGATGCAGTGTCCTTAGAGGCTGTAATTACTGCATGCTAGACCAGAATAGAAGAGCAGGAGGGCAGCATGCAAGGAAGGCGAGGAGCTGGTCTCTTTATTGTTATAGCTGAGATAACATCATTTATTTGGAGGGCAGTTCCTTGGTGATTTCAAAGCCTGATCTTGAACCTCAGTGCTTCTCATAAGTGGATGGTACAGTGTGGGCTTGTGTTCTTCTTTCTGCAGCCCACAGATGACATCGTCCTCATGGCCCAAGCCCTGGAGAAGATCTTCCTGCAGAAAGTTGCTCAGATGCCTCAGGAGGAGGTTGAGTTGTTACCCCCAGTCCCTAAAGGCAAAGGTCGCAAGCCATCAGCGGGCACACAGGGTGCAGGTACTGACCCAGTGCAGTGACACTGACAGTTACGAGCCTGTGGCTGAGATCTGAGCCACCTTCCAGCTGCCTGGTTTGCAGGTGGGGAAGGGGCATGGAAGGAGCATGCGATCTGATGGTTAAAGCAGTGGGTTACTCAGTCTTCCAGGGCTTTATGTCTTAAAGCGACTCTGCATTTGTCATACAAACACCTTCCCATCCATCACCTACCCACCTACACAGAGCTTGTATGCAAAGAATAAACCGAGGCAAGGTAGTTAAACATGCTGGTCTGCCATAAGTGCCAGACTGTGATGTAGAATGCCTGTATAGACCTGGGTTTATACAGCTCACCCCAGGTCCTGGGAGAAGCCTGACACCACAGAAACTTGTACTCCAATCTTGCTCATCCCTGAACCTCGTGTAACATATTTCTTTTGTGTGCATGGTTGCAACATCATAGAATCAAGTTTGGTCAGCAGAAGGGAGGGATTTATTAATCCACTGCAAAAGACTGTAGACCATTGCATGTGAGTAGGAACTAAGTTTAGTTCAGCTTACCTGGAATTGATTTTAAATGGATTTGGGACTAAACTGTCTGTAAGCACAATAAAACCATTCATACAGGAGTTCGAGTGGGCTGAATTAAACTGTTGTAACTTTTTTTCTGTAAACAAGGTCTGATTGTTGCTCTGGGGAAGTCAAACGTTGGTCTTTACTTTCCCACATCTCAGGTGCCAAATGGAGCTACAACTTCATCCAAGCTCAGAGAAATTTGTCTTCTGAGCATCCTTTGTTAAAAGCTGCTGTAAAACCATAGAGCAGTATTGCTACTTTGGTCACTAGTTATTACGTTTGTCCCCTTTAACTTTACACTAGTAGGGAGTTCTTCAACAGTGCAAGTCTGCCCTGGGTTCAGCAGTAGCAGTTGTTTTTCTTTTAGTAGCTGGTGCAGTGCTTTGTTTTTGAATGTCAGCCTGAGAACAGTGCTGATAAAACTGATGTTTTCAGTTCTTGCCAAGTGATGTTTACTGTGACCAAGGACTTTCTGAGTCTCATGCGCTGCCAGGGAGGAGGGGAAGTGGGGAGGAAGCAGAGACAGGACACGGGACCCGAACTAGCCAAAGGGGTATTCCATCCCACAGCACGTCATGCCCAGTATATAAACTGGGGGCAGTTACCCGGAAGGCCCAGATCACTGCTCAGGTCATGATGGGTATCGATTGATGCGTGGTGAGTGGTTGTGTTCTCTTCCCTTGTTATTTCCCTTATCATTATTCTTGGTGGTAGCAGGAGTGGTTTGTGTTATACCTTAGTTAGGGTTCTTATCTCAACCCCGGGAGTTGTGTTCTTTTGATTCTCCTCCCCTCCCTCCGGGAGCGGGGAGGAGGCAAAAGGGGGGGAGCGAGTAACGGCTGCGTGGTTCTGAGTTACCGGCTGGACTTAAACCACGACAAAGTCTAAGGTAAGAGACTTGCCTCGCTATCAGGAGGCTTAAGCTCTACTTTCAGCTCTGTTTGTTTTGTTGTATAACCTGTGGCAAATTGAGGCCTGTGTGGGACAGAAGCTGTCCAAAACAGCCATCTCCCTGTGGAATGGAGCTCTCCTTGAGCTCCTGCTGTTCTGCTGAGAGCTGTGAGAGGGATGAAGATTGTCCCAGGGCAGCACACACCCCATGTGCAAAAAGTAGTTTGCTTGCATGTGGCTGGCCTAAAGCTCATGGTATGAGGACCTGGGTCAGTGATTTCTTATGTTCTTGTTGACTGATGGGTAACAGCATCAAGCAAATTGCACAGTGTCCTTTGTGCTCTCCTGGTGACCCTGGCCTGGAAGCTTTTTGCCAAGCCTGTGACTGAACAGCCCAGTGGGACCAGGTTCACTTTGTCCCGATGTCTTGCCGACACTTGTGCCCATCAGTGCATTGCAGTGTGTTTTCCCTTTGTCGTTGAAAGGAGCTCCGCAAGCCGTGGCCATGTCCTCCGTGTCCCCACCGGCCCCGTTCCAGAACGTTCCTCCAGCTGCATCTCAGATGCCCGTCATTGCTGCCACCCCCGTGCCAACCATCACCGCTAACGTCCCGCCTGTCACTGCCCCTCCTGCCGCTGCCCCCCCTCCGCCTGCTGCTCCGATAATGCCCGTGGTGCCCCCGACGCCACCAGTGGTCAAGGTAAATGCAGAACTCGACTCCTTTCCCTTCCGAAGGCAATGGCTGCTGAAGCAGGGCTTCATCTCCATCCCCTTGCTGCTGGTGCGTGTGATCCTCCACACTTGACTCCTTGCTTCCCCGGCCATCATTGTCCCTTTGGGATGTGCTCAGACGAGTGCTGGCTCTCGAGTTTGAGAGGGCTGAGAGAGGTTTGGCCAGTTCTGCCTCACCCAGCTGGGGTTATGTCAAGCTGTAGTTGCTCCAGCTTGGTTACAGTCTCTCAACTGACCATAGCCTTGGCCAGTGCTGATGCTCTATGAACCAGAGGCTCTGGGGGGCTCCACTCTTTGGCACCATATAGCCCAAAGTATCTCCTCCCAGTGCAACTGAGGCCCTGATTTTACCAGGACTATTCCTTTAAGGTTTGCAGCTCCAGCACTAGGACTGTTCCTCTCTGCCATAAACCAGTTCAAGATGAGCCTGTCACTCCAGTTGGAGGAGACTGATCTTGCCTGCAGGTTTTGGGTGCATTAGTTCTGTCTTCCTTTCTGAGTAATCTTCTGGGAGTTGTCACTGGTGGTTTGCTATTTACTGTGTTAATTTATGGGTAAAGGAGAATCTTGCTCTAAATAATTGGAATTTTCCTTGCAAGCTGTGTATTCCTTTAAAAAAGATGAAAGCATAGCTCAGAGGAAGGTGGGGTTTTCTAAACTGGGGGATTAACTGCACCACTACTGGGGTTCTCTAGTGTGGGGTTGCATGCACCAGGAGAGCCACAGAATTGTTTTGCTCATTTAACCTTTTCGTTTAGGAAATAGTGGAGAAATTTAAGTCAGATCTTGCAGCTGAGCTGTACTTCCTGAAGCCTGTCTCGTGCTTCAGTTTCTGTCCAAATAACTTGCTTCTGAGCATCGGTTTAATTTTAAAACTCAAGACTGAGCTCAGGAGTTCACCAGATACACGGAACTAGTCTTGCTGGATTTACTGCAGATTGCCTTCTGGAAAATTTTCTCCCTTTCTCTCTCCATAGAAATAAATCCTTCCTAGGAGCACAAGGGGGAGCTGACTGCACAGTCACAGCTTGAATTCCTGTGAATTTGCTTAGAGCAAAATCATTAAATTCTTCTCTTGCCCATCACAAACAGTGGACCTTAGCACAGCCACTGCATGTGAGGGAGGGAGGGCTCACGGGTCTTTGGTGATTAATATGCTTTGATTCAGAACTTAGAGCCTGATCCTGCCACTGGGGACTTAGACGTGTGCTTAAGTTTCTGACACTTACTGAGTCCTGACACATCAGCTCAGCTGCAGTAATTAACTGGGCGCACGCCTTTCCCTTGGCAAACAGGAGGTAAGAGTCCTGGGTTTGAATCTCAGCAATACATAGAGCTAACACGTTTTGCATCGTGTTTGGGGTTGGCTTAGAGACAGTTACTACGGCTGGTTACTATGGCTCAGGTGGTGTGTGTCATGGTCACTGACATGTGTTGAAGGCCCCAGTCCCATCTACCCCGGTGCAGTCACCATATGCTGTTGGAGGGCTGGCATGTCTCGGATGGGGATTAGCTGGCACAGGCACAGAACTGGGCCCTGCTCATGCCATGTGTCGTGTCTGTTTCAGAAGAAGGGCGTGAAGCGGAAAGCAGACACGACCACCCCCACCACCTCGGCCATCACTGCCAGCCGGAGCGAGTCACCCACAGCCCTTGCAGACCCCAAGCAGGCCAAGATCATCGCGCGCCGGGAGAGCGGCGGCCGGCCCATCAAGCCACCAAAGAAGGACCTTGAGGATGGGGAAGTGCCCCAGCACGCTGGGAAGAAGGGCAAACTCTCTGAGCACCTCAAGTACTGTGACAGCATCCTCAAGGAGATGCTCTCAAAGAAGCACGCAGCCTACGCGTGGCCCTTTTACAAGCCTGTCGACGCGGAGGCCTTGGAGTTACATGACTATCATGATATTATCAAACACCCCATGGATCTCAGTACTGTTAAAGTACGTCCACATTTACCACGTCTTTTGCAGGGTGTCACAGCCCTCTGGTTGCAGAGGACTGGCTGCTTCTGGGGGAGGGGGAAGGGACATCTTTTTTCTGCCCTGCAAAGCAGACTGTACGATGGCATCTTCTCTTTGTGGATAGCCCAGCTGCTTAAACATGTGTCCTTGGGATTGTGTTGCACCCTAAGAAGAAGAGGTGCTGTGTTTCATAGGATTCGATTGATAGTATCCCGTTTCCAGAAGCTGCTGCTGCCTACTTGTTGGCATGTGTGGTCCAGATAGGCTTACACTGAGCAATTCCAACCACAATGTGATGATCACCTGGTACTTGGGGAGGGGAGGAAGTAATGTGATGCTTGTGTGGTTCACACTTGGCTCTTCAAGAGCTTAGCTTAGCATTGCCCAATACTCAGGGTGTTTTTCCCAATAGACTGGGAGGTTTTTTGAATCCCTCCTAAATACCCATGGAGCAAACCCTTGTTTTTGTAGTTCCCATCTTCTGCTTGTGGGCCATTGGAATTGGTGGTGGTGGAGGTGAGGCTCTTCCACATGCAGGAGGTGAAGGTATTGCTGCTGGCTTTGGCTAGTGTGCCAGGAGTGTTCTGCTGCCAGCAGAGCCAATGCCCAGGTGACAAAAGGGCAGCTGTGCTTGCGATTCCTTCCATGTTCCTTGGCAAATCCTACACAGAACCTGGAGTGTGTCATGTGCTGATGTACCGTTGCCATTCAGCCATGATGCTGTGAGCGTTCTTACTACAACTGTGGTAATTTTAAGAGTATTTTAGTTACATTACTTAGTTGAGAGAGAATATCTGTCATAGTCTTTGCATTGAGGATTAGGCCAGGGGTTACCAGTGTCTGAGTTCTAATCCCTGTTCTCATGCTGTCGTTCTGGGCAAGTTTCCCCACAGTTCTGTGCTGTAGTTTTCCCAGTCATAAAATAGAGACGATACTTAACCTACCTCACAGGGCTGTTGTGAGGACAGATATCTGGAGGTCACTAAGTATTACTTATTGATGGGGTTTGTACAGAAAAGACAACTTTCTGAGCTGGCAAAAGCATTGTAAGCAGGCTCTGGAGGAGCTGAGGCCATTTTCCTCCTGAGCTCCTGGTGCAGAATGTGCAGAATCCTTGACTTGCAATGTAGCTTTGTTAAAAGCCTGCAGCAGTTTCCTGGCAGGAGAAGAGGGCAAGACAAAGGGTGAGTTTTGCTGCAGGCAAGAAGAGGGAGACTCAAACACAGTGCTAAAAGCAGGAGAAAGGGCTAGGCTGAACATGGTAGTCTGCGAAGCTGGAGCACTGGTCCCTGGCTCTAATGTTCTGCTGGTAGAGGAAGGTTCCAGTGTTTTCTTGGGTAAGTTTTTCTATTTTCTCTTGCTCTTGAGCGTGGAGGAGGAAGGGAGAAGCTCCCCTCAGTTTTGGTGATGTAGTGTGCTCACCATCCTGCTCATTTTGGCTGTGCAGTACTGAAGGGCTGTTAATCCTTGTACGTTGCTTTAATTGATGCTGTCAAGGTCTCGCTTTACTTTATGTTGGTGTCACTGCTCTTCACCAGCTCGAGGTCCATCCACATGGCTTGGATCACAAGCTGATGGATAATTTTAGCTGATCAGGAGGCCACCTTCCTGCTCAGAGCAGTGGCACTTACTCTGATCTGCTCTCTTCCAGGGCTTGCCACCTTCTCAGCTCTTTCCTTTCTGTAGCAGTAATTGGTGCTAAGGTTCTACACCTGGTAGTAATAGAGACATAAAATCACTGAAGGAATGCTCTCCAAACCCCAGTCATTCAGTCCCAAACTGAAAGAGGAATGGGTGAAAGTGAGAGCTGAAAAACAGGAGAAAGGAAGAAGGTGCAAGTATCTATCTGCTGATGTTTATCCTTGCTACACTGGGAAGTAACATTACCAATGGGTTCCTAAAGGATGAAGTCTGTATCCATTCTTTTATCAGCTGGACTTTAAAATTGCGAGTAGCTCTTGCAGCTCAGCTGTAAATGCCAACTACTGTTTTCTTAGACAAATTCTGAGGGTGTTGTGAGCTGTCTCCAAGGTGCACATGTCCTCCATGCAGTTGTTACAAATGCCTTTTGCTTATGGCTTTTTCTCCCCTTTCCCTTTGGCTTGTTTGTTTGCAGAAAAAGATGGACAGTCGGGAATACCAGGATGCACAAGGGTTTGCAGCAGACATTCGGTTAATGTTCTCTAATTGTTACAAGTACAACCCTCCAGACCACGAGGTGGTAGCGATGGCCAGGAAGCTCCAGGTAAAGGTGTTGGTAAATTTGTCCTCCAGAGTACATTTAGTTCAGCTGCAAGGTATGGATTCAGAGATCCAAGTGCGGATCTGCCCGTAGCACCATAAAGGGTTGGTGATTCCTCCAGCCTTTGGAAAGAGCCACGCTCTCTGCTTGTGCTCTTCACATGACATTGCCCAACACCATGTTGTGCTCCTAAATTGTCATAATTGCTGCTGTATAAAGTAATGAGGGAATTTTCCTGGTCTTACAGGAGCCATGTGTACATTATTGTTGTACAGCAGCTTGTATCGGGCAGTAAGACCCTGAGCCATGGTGGGTGCCTGGTGTGTTTAAAAGGCCAGAGAGGGAGGTCTTTGTGGCTGAGGCTCCTTTTGTCACCAGTTTTGCCCCTTTTTGTAGGACGTCTTTGAGATGAGGTTCGCAAAGATGCCCGATGAGCCTGCAGAGGCCCCCCCTCCACCTCCCCCGGCAGCCCCAGTGGTGAGCAAAAGCACAGAGAGCAGTCACAGCAGCGAGGAGAGCTCTTCCGACTCAGACAGCTCAGACTCAGAGGAGGAGCGAGCGACGCGGCTGGCGGAGCTGCAGGAGCAGGTACTGGGCTGGTGTCTGTGCAGCACCAAGGCCGTAGCAGGGGGAAGGGGTTAACTGTGCTGCAGCAGAGCAATCTCCCCTTTTGACAACCAAAGGAGAAAGGCTCAGCAGTGAAGTAAGTGCATGGTTGATGTGATGCTCCTGTTCTGTGAGAGCTATTCTCAGCACTGATGCTCTGTGCTTCCTTCGGGGATCCTGGAGTGTGAATGAAGGAGTGCACAGTACTTGGGATTTAGGAAGAACGGAGAAACCCATTCTGTATGAAAACTCAGGCATAAGGAAATCCCATCACAAGCTTCCTGGGGGTATTGTCCCCTGTACCCGGGCTGTAGAAATGAACTGTTCTGGCTGTTGTGGTTGCAAATGCTTAAGCCACGGCCTTTCTTATACAGATACACAGTCCCAGATGCTGCACTGCTTATGTGTGCTCCCATAATACAACAGAGCATTAGTAAAATAGCTTATCCAATGTCTCAAAGCAAGCTAGTAGGAGAGCCAGGAAGTGAAGCAGGATTCCAGAGGCCAAGTTGTCAGCACTCTAGGTGGAGCTATTAAGCTTAATTTTCATTTGCCCCTATAAACCAAGAATGATATGTTCATTTGAGTCAGCTTTGTGCACTTGCACTGCATTTCTAAGACACTTTCAAATAGAGCAAAGCCTCCTGAGTTCAGTCACTAGACTGCTCCATCACTGACTTTGGGCTATACTTACATGTAGGGATGTGGAGGCATCGGTTACCTTGCTGTGAAGTCTGATTGCCTTTGTCACTGCTCTCCTCCAGCTGAAGGCCGTCCATGAGCAGCTGGCTGCATTGTCACAGGCACCAGTGAACAAACCAAAGAAAAAGAAAGAGAAGAAGGAGAAAGAGAAGAAAAAGAAAGATAAAGAGAAGGAAAAAGAAAAGCACAAAGTGAAAGCTGAGGAGGAGAAGAAACCCAAGGTGGCTCAGCCACCAAAGCAAGCCCAACAGAAGAAGGCCCCAGCTAAGAAAGCGAACAGCACAACCACAGCTGGCAGGTGAGTGCCTGCCTTCCACAAGCTGTCCTGAGGGGAATGCCAGGAGCCTCCAGCCCAGTTCCCCTGCCCCTGCTGAGCTCCTGGGGAAGCTCACTTGTCATTGCAGTTAATTTGCTGTTGAATAGTGTCCCAATTCCCAGACAACCACAGGGAGTTTTAAAGTTAGAGCTAGCAGTGGAACCATCATACTTGCACTGTTCTGCTCTCAGTCGCCTCTGATCACTCTGGGATAAGGTTTTGCTTTTTGCCTTTTGCACAGCCAATGAGAACGTGCCACTTGATGGCTGCCCTGCTGCTACATGGGCTTATTGTGCATCACAGGGCTCAAGTATAATGGGGTAGAACAGCTGATCCCAGGTCTGTGAACTTCAGAATTTGTGCTGCTGCTCAAGCCATCTGGTTGGCAGCTCCAAGCCAAGAGCACTGGGGTGTTTGTCACTAGGAGGGCAGAAAAAGCCAGTTTATTGTTTCTGTATACCCATGAATGTTTCCATGCTTGCCACCCACTCAGGCAGCCCAAGAAAGGAGGCAAACAGGCATCTGCAACCTACGATTCAGACGAGGAGGAGGAAGGTCTGCCCATGACCTATGATGAGAAACGACAGCTCAGCTTGGACATCAACCGTTTGCCTGGGGAGAAACTGGGCAGAGTGGTACACATCATCCAGTCCCGGGAGCCTTCCCTCAGAGACTCCAATCCCGATGAGATAGAAATAGATTTTGAGACATTGAAGCCCACGACTTTACGGGAGCTGGAGCGATACGTGAAGTCTTGTTTACAGAAAAAACAGAGGAAACCATTTTGTAAGTTACCTCCTGGGGCACTTTTCCTCCACCAGCTCTTGGGGTCAGCTCTGGAGACAGGGCATGTGTGTTGGGATGCTGTTTTCCAGCTGTTGGTTATGAGCTGACAGGGGTTTTGAGGTCTTTTCTCCCAAGAGAAGTACAGAAACTTTCTATTCCTTCTGTTCTTTCTTTCCATGGAGTCATGCTCTGGAGACCTCGAGGACTGTTGTGTTCCTCTACAAGACCTGTGATGGGTTTATTACTTACCTAGAATCTAGAAGGTACTATACAGGTTTCAGTCTCATTCTGTTAGGTGTAATGTGCACACATCGGTGAGGATCAGTTTCTCATCCTGAATAGTTTAGCATCTAATTAGGAAGGAAACAAAAAGCATGGTTGGGATCCAAAACACAAGGGGAAAAATAACTTGCACAGAGTTACCTGGGAAGCCTCTGGATTCTGGGTTTAAATGAATTGTGTGTTCACTCCAAAACTGTTCTTCCTACGTGGCCTGACCACAGCATTACCCTCAGTCTCTATCAGGTCAGGATTAATGAGTGTGCTGCTGAGTGTCCGGCTTGGTGTGGGACAGACCTTTCTCTGTGAGTGAATTGTGGTGCCCCCCTGGGAGTTTAGCTCCAGCTGAATAGCAATAGGATCACTTACCTGAAGTGGTTCTGGCCCTGTCCATCTGCTTGTTGTTTAAGGAGTTGTCCTGTTAAGAGAGTATAACACTATAGCTACTCACAGCTCTTGCAGAGCACCTCCATTTCTTCATTGCAGGATTTTCAGGTAGGCTTCAGCAAAGCTCAAACTTTGACCCTTCTTTTTGCTTTTCAATACACTGCTTTGAGTTTTGTTTGTCTCCTGAGTTGGACTAGCTCAAGAAGAGAGCTTCCAGAGGGCACAGGAAAAAGAAGCATTCTTTTGTTTTGGAACCAAAGCATAGAGTGATGCAGATAACTGAGACATCTGCTCCTCTGCACACACTGGGCTGGTGTTCCTGGCCCCAGAGGGCTTTTCTGCTGTCTGTCACCATGGTGGGATGCACCCTCTTAGGACTCTGCTTTCCAGGTTTCCTTTTTTACTACTGCTTTAGAACAGCACACAGAAATGTAGGTATTTCCTTGCTGCATCAGGCAAGTTACCTGGCCCCTGACTTGTGTTTCTGACACTGCCCAAAGCCTGTGTTCAGTTACTCCTTCTTTGGAAGAATGTTTGTTCTGCTCAGAAGTTTGAGTGTTGCCAGTACTTCTCACCATTGCCATCCTGACTGGTGCAGCTGCATTCCTGTTCTCTGCCAGCCTTTGCCTCCACTGGTTTTTAATTTGCCCTTTTTGTTTTATATCTAAAGTAACACAAATCACAATAGATTCTTTCATAAAGTATCTTAAGTTGTAATAGGAAGTGCTTAACTTCTGACAACCTTTAATGGGACACTTTATTTTACAGGGCAGAAACCCCATGTAACAATTCTGTAATTACAAATGTGTAACTATTGACCATTTAACTGGCTGGTAAGTAACCTGGAACTACAAGGTTATTACATGGATGTTTGTATCTTCTAAAATACTTTTTGGAAGATCCCTCTTAGAAAATGCGTGTTACAGGACGATGGTGATTGGATCATCTAGACAACCTCAGAAGTTGTCCTCTATCTGGGATGTGTAGCTGCTGTGTGGTCACTTGATCTTTAACAGTGTCTCTGCAAAGTGGCTGCACAGATTTACATGCCCTGTAAAATAGTGATGTCCAATCTTACTCACCTGCAACCGTGCAGTTTCAGAGCTTGTGCATTCTTCCTCCCCAGCTGCAGGTGGGAAAAAGCAAGCAGCAAAGTCAAAAGAAGAGTTAGCTCAGGAAAAGAAGAAAGAACTAGAAAAACGGTTACAGGATGTCAGTGGGCAGCTAAACAACAACAAGAAGCCTGCAAAGAAAGGTAAAGGCTTTAGCTTTACTGTGCTACCAGTGCCTGAACCCTTGTGTATGTAATAGACTTCCTCACTGAGGCAGAACTGCTGCTGCCTTGCAGCCTGGGGCTTCTCTCTGTGACAGTTACTCAGCTGGTCAGTGAGTAACTGCCGGGCACTGAGCTGTTGTGTGGGAGCTGCTTTGGTCCCCGTCCAGGGGGTGGCTCCCTGGTGGTAAATGTAAGGCCTCTCGGAGGCAAATTCATCCTTCAGAGGGAGAAGGCTGTGGGCACAGATCCCCAGGCAAAATGAAGCTGTGAACAAAGCCATGGAGGGCAAGGGCTCTGTTTCAGCTCTGTGCAGGTAACCCCATCTCTGCCTTCCCCCCGCAGAGAAGTCTGGCTCGGCTCCCTTGGGAGGCCCTTCCCGGCTCAGCAGCAGCAGCTCCTCCGAGTCTGGGAGCAGCAGCTCCAGCGGCTCCAGCTCAGACAGCAGCGATTCGGAATGAGTTACGGACACTTACACCCAGCACCCAAAACGGACATCACCTTCACCGATGCTCTCCAGTGTTCCTTTCCTTAATATACTGCTCTTGCTCCACGGTGGTCAGGTTTTTTTTTGTCCCCTCTCTCTTTCTCTGACTTTATTTTTTAATTCAGTGTTATAACAGGATTCTTCCATTTTTGGGGGGCACTCTTAATAGGTCAAAGATCTTTCCGTGTGCGTGTGTGCGCGACCAGACTTCATGACAAATAGTTCCCTTTGCATAAAGTCTCTGAAATACATTTTAACTGACGAAGGTTGGTTGAAGTGGAAGAACCCTGAACCCTCAGCAGGAGATGACTAGAAAGTTCTGTGAGGCTTGCAGCTGCCCTCCTCCTGCCCCGCCCTCTCCCTACAATGTTCTCTCTTCAGGAGCTGCTGGGCTCACACAAGGGAAAAGCAGAACCTCTTTTCCTAAAGAGATCTCTGTACAATGGTACTGTATCTGGGAGACGTTAGCTTTTCAACTAGGTGGTGTATTTGTTACTAGCACTAGTATTCTTAATCTCGCAGTCTCCAGTGTGATCAGAATGTCAGATTCTATCATCTTTTTACATAAAAACAGAAAGAAACAAAAAAGTCATGTAGTCTGGGTTGCTAACATGCTTTTGGGGTTTTCTTAATCTTGGTAGAGACATAGGCACCTCTTCAGGAAGGTATTTAAGCATGAACTTTAAGCACATGAGCAATACAAGCAGTTGCATTTTTTGTTTTTCTCCACTTGAGGTTTTCCTTTTTCTTGGGGATGTGTTGGGAAGGCGGGAGCAAGGGATGCTCCGGGTTCTTGGAAATGTTATTTTTCACATGCAATAGACGATTTCCAGGAAATGGGCACTCTCTAGGAAAGGTTTCATTTAATTGAAAACAGCTTTTGGCTGTCAGTCTTCAGCTGGACCTCGGGGTGATCCCTGCAGTGACCACGGAGTCATGTGCTCCTTACCAGACACAGGCTCAAGAGTTTTCTCCATGACAAGCACCTCAGCCTGCGCCTAAAATAAAGGAGCACTTGAGCTGCAGCTGAGGCTGAGCTGGCAGGGAGCTGGAGAGGAGCGCTGTGTGTGCTGGGGCTTGGGGGCTCTGTTCCTCTCCTTGTTTCAGTAGTGAGCTCTGAGGAGGGAACCCTGCGTGTGTTGTGCAGGGCGCAGGTTTCAGGCACTGAAATGCTTACCTCAAGAAAAAGAAAAAAGAGGGGAGGAAGGAAAAAAGAAGAGACATCAGCAACTTTTTGAGTCTGGCCTGATGTTCTGGCCCGCGCTTGCTGCAATGCAGCCAGTTTTCACTGTCCCTAATTTCATGTATATACAAGTCCTTTATTTATTAAACCATTGGTTGTTTAAAATGAAATAACTAACAAAAGCAAAGCTGCGTCCTGCAAGCAGCAGAAGGACAAACATCGGATGTGATTGGAACCAGATTCAAAAACAAGCAACCAGCAATAAAGAACATAAACATCTGAGGCTTCATGTAAATACATGGGACTTGATACTCACAGGTTCTATGGGCCAGCCTGTGTCTGGTGCTGTCATGTTTGTGTGTTTGGGTTTTGATTTGTTCATTCTCTTCTTTCTCTTTTTACCCCCCTTTTTGCTGTTTTGTACAGATTTTGGAGCCATACAGGTAGATAGAGTCTCTTGATGCAGGGTGCTGTTGTTTTCTCAGTAATGTTCCAGAAATCTTTTCCTTGTTCTGGTTTTAATTTCTGTTTGTAGACCAGTGGGGTTTTTCTCTTGTAATCCAGCCTTAGGAAAGCACCAGTCCTGTAACTGTAATACCTTGTAATCTGAGGGGCAGGAACTTCTTACAGATTCTGGACTTTTTACTGTAAAGACAAAGTGTACGGAGTTTAACAACGTTATGCCTTTCCTTCTCCCACCACCAGCCCCAGTGCTGCCTCTCTGCTGTTGGGGTCCCAGCCTGTGTTTTGCCAGAGGCCCTGGGGTACAGATTGCACCAGCTTGTATTTTTCACATAGGCGAGTGGCCCTGGAGGCCCCTCAACCCCAGCCCAGGCTTCCAAATGCACCCACAGCCCAGAGATGCTGTGCTGGGATGTGTGGTGTCTGAGTGATGGCCCTTTGCTGGGAAGCCCAGGACCAGACTGTTACTAGCACTGCATGGTCTGCCCTTCTGACAGCATCTGTATCAGCTGCCAGTCACTTGCTGCCCATCGGCTGAGGTTTCATTAGCTGGACACTTCACTGTCTTTACCAGTGTCTGTCAGATCAGTGTTCCAGGGTGCTTAGTGCGTGTCTGGCACAGCTGATGTGCCTCTGTCTCTGTCTAACCCATGTCCTGGCAATAACATGTTGGCTGTAGAAAAGAGTCCCTGTGTTTTGGCTCGGGCTGAGCGAGAAGCTGTGTTGCTGTTAGGTACCGAGCTCCTCCTGTGAGTCTCTGGGTACCTTTGGCTTGTTTTGCAGTCTCCAGGGTGCTTGGCCTGGGAGTACGAGGCTCTCGAGTCTTTGCACGTGGTTTCCCATAGCGTTTGGAATTGGATGAAGCGGGGAATTCTGATTCTTACTGAAATGAATGTTTTTTCTTTGCAGTTACCAATGGAGTTATTTAGTTCCTGTATTTTAAATTCTGCCCTCAAAAAATCTTCCCCTCACCAGATCCTTAGCAATATATTTTCAGGATTTCCTCTGAGGAAATGTACTATCCACCTAAAGAAGAGCTTGGGGGGTTTAATGGCTTGGGGTTTCATCTGTGTCTTTCCTATTGTCCGAGACTTGCATTAGCAAAGCCAACTAGTGTTTTAATTAAGATAATTGCAGCCACTTCAGTACCATGGCAACTTGGATAAACAAGCTCCCAGCTTTCCCTGCTTGAAACCTTTCCTTGAGCACAGTGCCTGGAGCCATGCTGCTGCTGTGCTGTGGTGGTCACTTCCGTGGGGAGAACAAAGCCCACCCAGTCACCAGCATCACCACCACGCAAGGCCCAGGGACTGGCTCTGCAGGGTGCCACCATCGCTGCTCCAAACTGACTGCACCAGGAACACAACTTCCTCTGTCCCACCGCAATCTGTGGGAAGGCTGGAGCCAAAGGGTTGGGGACCAAGCACAAAGTGATGGAAAGGGCCCCGCAGCGCTGGAGGAGGATCCCACTGTACTTGGCAAACCTGCCCTAGCTTGGGGCTTTGCAAGGAGAACAAGGCATGAGAGCCACTGAGGAGCAGGAGCATGAAGAACAACCTGCGCATCTCATAAACCTGCTGCAACTTGAGCTTCCAGTTAGTGGGAAACTGCGTGTTTTCATGGCAAGTAAGGTGCTCCCTACGGGACGGCAGTTCACAGGAGAAATCCATGTTGCCATGACCTTCATTTCAGGAAAGAAGTTGGTGACTCCCCATTTCCAAATGTTGTTCTTACACTCTTTATTTTCGTGTTGTTTGTAGTGCTGGTTCTCTCCTGCCATGTCAGTAGTGGTGCCTCTTGTACCTGCAGAGCAGAGTGTCTCCAGGAAAGAAGAGCTGTTTTCAGTCCATAGTAAGTAGCAGCTGCCCTTAATGAGTTGGAAATTGAAACCATAGAGCATTTATTTAACTGAGTTTGTGTTGCATGACCTGGCAGTGCAGGTGTCATGAGAACTTTAAAACGATCAAACATAAGATGTTTGAAAATAACAGGGTTTTTTTTTTTAAACTTAATAAAGAAAATTGAAATTTTTATGGCAGAATTTTGTTTGAAGGAGTAAAGTTTAACTTTGTTTTCCAGGGGAAGCTGCACTGAAATCAGTCTGATTTCAGGTATATGCATACACACAAGTAGTTTTGTTGAAACTGTTTTTTTCTGAGAAACTCCTGTTCTGACCAGACCTGTTATGAACCAGCACCCCTGCACCTTGAAGGCTCTGTAGACTCCATCTGGTTATAAGCTCAGCCTGTTTCTCGCTGTTCATCAGCCATGGGCTCAGGAGGGCAGTGGGAGCTACTCAAGGGGTCTGTTGGGTACAGCAGCTTCCTGCGAACCAAATGTCTGTACAGAAGCATTCCCTTTTGTATCGATGTGAGTTTAAACTTTCCTACCGACAGGGTTTGTAACTGTGGAGCCGACACTTCAGGACTGTGTACCCTGTGTGTGTGATAGCCGCACGCGTACCGAGCGAGTCTGCGTGCTCGTGTGCACATTAGTTCCCCTGTGAGGTCTCTTTCCATGTTCTCCATGTGGTAGAAGCAGACTGCAGCCACCTAACCTAGCTCTTTCTCTGTTTTGGGGACTTTCGGACCAGTTTTTAGGTTTTTCCTTGTTTTGAAAGGAATGATGTTTTTTACAGTTGGGGTTGGAGCCGGGGGAAGGATCGGGCATGACGCAAACCCCACAACCTTTGTTGTAATCCTGGGTTTTAAAGAGACCTGCTCTCTCATGGAGCAGTTCCCTGGGGCTGACTGGGCAGGCTCTGTGCTGCTGGGGATGGGTTCATCCCACTGCAGCATCCTCTTGCTTGTGAACAACCAGATGCTTTTTTAACAACTGGTATTTGCAGCTCTTTGTAACTGTCATTTTTAGAACTAACCAAACCACCAGCACGGGATTTGGCACAGGCCACCGGGAACTCCCCTGGTCCTGACGGAACCAACGCAGGCAGATCTGTTGGTGTATTTTTTGGGTTTTGTTTTTTTAATATTTAAAAGAATGTTACTTTTCTGTATGATGTGCATGCGAGTTTACCGTAACTTTTTCTTAAGCCTTTTTAGTGCCATTTCTAGTATATTCCTGTAAATGTCCGTTACTGAGGAGAAACGAGTCAATGTAAGTAGTGTTAGCTTGTTCTTTGCAAATTGCTGGCCTCAAACACGACAGAATTTAAAAGGAAGAGTTAGAAAGTACTCTGTGATGTTACTGGTGATCACGGACCCTGGGCCCGGGCATTCGGTTTCTTTTCATAATAAAAAGAGAAATTGTTTTGTGTGTGCAGTTTGATCCTGCGTTTCCCCCTCTCCTCTCCCTCTCCCTTTCCTTGTCTCCTTGTGCTTGCTTCAGCTGCAGACCTGTAGGGCTTTGATGGAGCAATGAGTGGCATTGCCAGCAGACAGACAGGAGTAATGGAAGAGTCCCAGTGCTGTGAGCCTTGAGCTGCTGAGGAGTAATTCTCAGGTCCAGCTGTCAGTGCAGTAGCATGCAAATGCTCTAAATCCACCCCTGTGCTGGTGAGGGACGCACTCTGCTGCTTTAACGCACCAGGAGAGCCAAGGAAGGACTTTTCCTACAGATTATGTGGACTTGCATCTGAGTGATGGAAGTTCAGCTGGGAAGCAGATGGAAATCCTAACCCAGGTTTATGTCCCAGTGCTGGCAACAGCACCAGCTCCTCCAGCCAGGGCTGGTCAGTGAGCCCCGGGTGATGGGGATGTGGAGGGCACTGCTGGGACAGGGGCACCCAGAGGTGCTGCTCACAGGCATGGCCCAGTCTTGACATTGCTGCATGGTGGCCAAGTTCTGTTTTGGTCACTTGGGAGGATTCAGGTTGGGTTTGCTGTTGGGTTGCTTTGCATGCCTAATGGTTTATTTATAAGGTAAGGGTTACAACAGCCAAGTTTACCCAGGGTTAATCTTTCTCTAACCCTGTTCCTGCTCACTGCACTTAAAAGTCACAATTTAAGGTTTTGGCAAACCTGTTTTGCCTTCCTGTTGGTGTAGCTGTGTTGTGTGGTGGTGTACTAGTGATACCCCGCAGGCCGTGCTTGTTCAACCCATCCTCACAATCACAGTTGCCCCACAGGAGGATGTTTTCTTTGGTATTTACTAGCGAATTAGTGCTGGGTGCATCAGTGTCTCTTCCTACAGCCCTGGAGGAGGCTGAGGACAAGCACAACCTGTCTGAGGCTCAGCTCACACTGATAGCAGTGGAGATCATTCATTGTATGTGTGATGCTCAGATGTGTCTTGGTCTGGGTCAAGCCCAGTGCATCGCTGAGGCTTCACCAGGCTCTTGGGATTGGGAACCTGGAGCAGGCTTCTCTGCATGGGCTGCACCTCACAGGGGACCCCCAGCCCCACCTGTAACTGAGGCAGCTCCCAGCTGGGAGCTCCTGCTCTGCTGCCTTTCCCTCTGTGGGCTGGGGGGTGCCTGTGGCTGTGACCCTCAGTGTGCCCAAGTGCTGAGCACCCGGGAGAGAACCGGCCACTCATGATGCTGCGTTCAAATCACTTTAATGCTCTTTACCAAAGAGGCTACAACAGCGGTCAAACAAGTGCATTAACACAACAGCACTGCTCACAGCAGCCACTCCACAACCCTGCTGTGACTAAAGAGGACACGGATGTGGAAATGAAACACAGTCACATTCACAGGGTGAGGGCGAGCAAGTCCTGCTTCCTGCACTGTCCCATCCAGCCCCAGTCCTGGAGGAATTCATGCACATGAGTATTTCAGTTAACACTCTTCAAGTAACCGAATCTTGGTTTACCAGCCAGGTTTACAAAAAGAGCCTGATTAGGCCCAAAGTAATCAACTCTCAATTAAACAGAAAAACAAGTTGTGGGCTTTTTCCTATGAGAAAAGTGAAGGAAATGACTTTGGGCTGTGCTGTTCCTGAGGTTCCAGCATGCTCCTGCACTGCTGAACCCCCTTCTCCTGTGCTCTGGGTCCCTTCACCCCCAGCTCTCTGGGGCTCAGTCCAGCCCATGGCTGTCAATGGCACCAGGCAGTGGTTGGAGCTGGGTGGCTGCACACCCCAGGCACTGCTCCACAGAACACCCAGCACCAGGGCCCTGCAGCCCTCCCCATCCTGCTGCTTCCTTGAGCCCCATTGAATGGGTTTTCCCCAGCTGGAAAATTCACCAAAGCACTTCCCAGCCAGAGCTGGTGCTGGCGGGGTCATGAGGGCGATGAGAGCACGTGAAGGTCTGGCTTTATGAGCACACATGTAAGGTACCAACGCATGCATAAACAGCGCTAAGAACCCCCAAAGAGCTGCCTGGTTTGCAGTGCATCCACGTGCTGTGGGTCAGGGCTGAGTGCACCAAACCTCCCGCATCTCCTGTTAGAACAGGTAAGTTCTGCTCAGCAGCCCTGCGTGTGCATTGCAGAGATTCTTCTTCCCCTTATTAAAAATAAATAAATAAATAAATAAAGTGCTCAAACAAAATGCAGGAGGGGTTTTAGGTAAATAGAACAATGCCTGTGCCTACTCATAGGCAGGTAAATAACCCAGACCGAAGCCGCCATCCAATACTGATGTGCCTGAAGTGAAGCCTGGGCTCAACTGCTGCTGGGCTGGGGGACAGGGCTATGGGAGGGCATGAAGGGAGGCTGTGATTAGCCCAGCGTTACCCCTCAGTGCTGAGCCCCGGTGTAATCCGCACCCGGGAGGTGGCACCGCTCTGGTCTCAATGAGCTCTAGGCGCTGGGGTGGGTTTCTCGGTGTGATCTTGCCTTGAGCAAGTGGGGACTGGGCTCCAAGGGAGGCAGCCTGGAGGCAGCCCCTGCCCCGGTGCGGCTGTACCCTCCCTCCTGCAGCCCTCCATCCGACACGATATAAACCCACCAAACCCACTCCAGCGCGGTCAGAACTGACCCCCCCGAGCTGCTGCGTGCACCAAGGCTCAGTGCAGCTGCACCGGGGCAGGAGCGCTGCAGGGCTCCCGTGTGTCCCCTGCAGATGTGATTCACAGTCACCTCCTCCCTGCTGCCTCCTGGGCCCGTCCCTCCCTCCCAGGTGCCCCCTCGGTAGCAGGGGCTGGGGGAGCTGCGGGAAGGGAGCAGTGCCCAGGTCCTGTCTGGTCCCCGGCTGTGGTTCCAGGGAGGGCCCTTTGGATGGAACTCCAGTGCCTTTTCCTGACGGGGTTCTGGAGGCTCCGATGAAACTCTCAGCACGTTTTTCCCTCCTCCCCTTCATAAATCACCTTATTCCTGGATGTAAGAGACCTCTTCCAGGCCGTAACTACAGGGAGGCAGCGCACACCGAACAAGTGATGGCCATGTAGCTGTGTGGATCAACCTTCCTATAATCCTGGCCTTGATGGAAGCGGATCCGTGCCCACCTCTCCCGCCAGCCCCTGCAGAGCTCTGGAATCCGTATGGACTAGAGATGGACGTGCTGGCTGGGGACAGCTCCCAGATGACCGCAGGTGATCCTCACTGTACCCAAGCCACTTACCCAGAGCACATGGTCCAGCACGAACCGTGCCAGGATGCTGGGCAGCAGACACAGGCTCGTGAGCTCCGGTTGAGGCCGGGTTTCACACACACCTCACGACGTGCAGAATGATGCTACAGCAGCGACAGCAAACACAAACCTCAGACAGTTCCTGGCCTGGGCGCTGTGCCTGCCCTGTGCAGGTCTGCCCTGCAGGGGCTGCAGCCCCATCCCTCCAGCCCGAGGCCAGCCTGGCCGCTCTCCAGAGCGATCACATAATAGCACAAAACTTGGACTGCCCCGTGTCCCTGGGCACATCCAGCTTGTTCTTGTCCCGCACCAGGATGGCTTCGTTGCCGTACTGCGAGTACCACATGCTCCGGCTCCGGCTCAGGTACGTGTTGGGGGGCGCCGACTCCAGCTTCTGCTGCTGCTGCTGCCAGATGAGCATGGAGGTGTCCCGGTACCGCAGCCGGGCATAGCCCTCGGACAAGGCTTTCTCCGGCAGCGGCACCCTCCCGTTCATCACCGTGTCAGTCATCTGCTCGGGGACGGCTCCCACCGGCAGCTCCCGAGTACAGCCCGCGGGGTCGGTCCAGGTCGACTGCTGCTGCTTCGGGCTCAAGGGGGAGCATCCCCAGGACCCAGGAGCTGCCGCTCGGTGCTGGCACCGCTCAGGGGATGGAGCAGGGGTACACAAGGGGCGGCCTGGCCTGGCTTAAAGAACGGGCCAGGACTTCAGAAAGCTGCTCCAGTGGTGATGCTGCTCCATGGTGCACCTGATGAAGGGACCACACGCACACGAGCTGCTCCTTGTCGGTCTGTGAAGCACCTCGATGGGCTCAGCAGCGGCTCTGCGGTGCTGGGCTCGGTGCTGGGCTCGCCCCGCGGCTGGCAGGCGAGGCCCAGCAGCTCCGGACCAGGTTCGCTGCACTGAAGGCCGGGTCCCGAGCCCGCAGGGCAGACCTGAAGGTGAGAGCCGAGAGGTCACCAGCGCCCAGCCCCGGGGAGCCCCGGCACCGATGGGCGGGGGCGCTGCGGGGATGCGGGAGCGGCGCTGCCCCCGCCCCGCTCCGGAACGGACCCGGGCTCCTCCTGACGGCCCCGCTCCGGGGCTGCACCGGGGGGTGCGCGCCGGGGTCACCCCGGGCCTGGCCGCGGGTCCCTGCCCCGGCACCGCCCCCGCCCCTGCACACCCCCCCCCCCCCGCCCCGGGCGCTCCCTCCGGCCCCGCGCACCCGCCCCGGGGGCTCCCCCTCTTCCCCCCCCCCCGCCCCCGGCCCCGGCCCCGGCCCGTGCTCACCGCGGCCCGGCCCGGCCCGGCCCCGCTCGGCGCAGCAGCCGCGGAGGCGCCTCCCGAGCGCATCACGGCGGGAGGAGCCTGGCAGGGGCGGGGCGGGCCGCGGCGGGGCGCGGGAATGGAGCGACCCGAGCGGGGGGCGGTTACCATGGGTGCCTGCGCTGCCCATCCATTGCTGCCCATCGCTGCCCCATCGCTGCCCCACCGCTGCCCATCGCTGCCCCATCGCTGCCCCATCGCTGCCCCATCCCTTCCCATCCCTGCCCCATCGCTGCCCATCGCTGCCCATCGCTGCCCCATCGCTGCCCATCGCTGCCCCATCTCTTCCCATCCCTGCCCCATCGCTGCCCATCGCTGCCCATCGCTGCCCCATCGCTGCCCCATCGCTGCCCCATCTCTTCCCATCCCTGCCCCATCGCTGCCCATCGCTGCCCATCACTGCCCCATCGCTGCCCAGTCTCCTGGCGGGTCACTGGAGCAGCAGCCGTTTGTGCTGCAGGGTGAGTGGCTCCTTTGGACCCCTTTACTTACATGACCCTGTGACCACCCCTGTGAGGGGTGAGGGGGGTAGGAACACCCTGATGTGAGCTGATACCTGCACACGACCATCCTGCATGGGGAGGAGTGGGATGGAGCATCTGAGGTACCCCACAAATCATCGCTCTGGTGCATGTCCTGGGCCCAAATACCATAGAATCATAGAATGGTTTGGGCTGGAAAGGACCTTAAGATCCTCGAGTTCCACCCCCCTGTCACGGGCTGGGACACCTTCCACTAGAGCAGGCTGTTCAAGGCCATGGTATGGAGTATTCCCAACTTCCTTGGACAGCCTGGCCCTTCCAGGCACAGGGAGAAGCAGGTTTGGAGAGAGCTGGGGGGCTTATTCCTTTTCAGATGGTGCTAAATGTAAGCTCTCAATCTTCTTATCTCCTGCTAGCACAGCACCACCTAACCTCTTGTGAAGGGGCTGATGCAGCCACTGTGTCAGAGCTGCTTGAGGTGCTGGTGCTGTCCCACTTGGCCTTCAAGGACACAACCGCGATGCAGGGATCCTCTTCCATCGGACAGAAGGCAAACTGCGATTCCCTGTCCCAGGAGACCCACACCAAACACAAAGAAGAGGGAAGGAAGAAGAAGAAAGTAAACCTGAACCTGCTGGCGAAGCAGTGGCTCAGAAGAGCCCCGCCGCTGCTGCCCCATCGCATCCCAGCAGCACCAGCTGCCGGCCGCACCTGTGGGAGCTGCAGAACGAGAAGCAGAATCGTTTGCTGGATCCCGACTCTGTTTCCTGGCTCTGGTGGGAATGTGACCGGTCCTGTCAGCATCAGCTCCGGGCGCAACAGAGCAGCCAGCACGTGGGGATGGTGCCAAGATAAGGCAAGGAGAATGGCTGAGAATGGCAAACCTCTGCCAGCCAATGGCCACACTGAGCATCCTCGAGCCCTTTGCTGCGAGTCCCTGTGACATCTGCAGCGGGACCCTTCCCACATGAACCCTGGAAGCAGCAGCAGTGGACTGGGGAGGTGAAAGCCCAGCACTGCCCGGCCAATGCTTAGCTCCTCTCCTCCCTCCTCCAAGGGAACCTTGTGCCCATCTGCTTTGCTTGGGCCTTGCTCTGCTGTAAGATGTGGCAGTGCATGGGGCTGGGCTGGGTGAAGGTCCCCTCATCTGCTCCTTAGGGCTGTGAGATGCTTTGGGTGGGTTTGGTTTTGATAGGGAAGATGCTGAGGTGGAGGAAGGTGCTGAGGAAGGTGCTGAGGAAGGTGTCCCAGCAGCAGAATGATGGTGTTGGTGTTTGTATTGAGCACACGGGGCCATGCCAACCCCCTGGGAGCCTTTTTCCAGTGGAGCTGCACTCCCAGGCACTGCTTTCATCCCGGTTAAACAGGATGGCAGCAGATGCTGCACGGGTACCAGCACAGAGTCCAGCTCATGCCTCATGCACTGCACTGCGCTGTGCCAGGGTATGTCCCTGCTCTCCCTGAGCTCCCCTGGCAGGAGCACGGGGCTCTTAGGGGAGGGTCCTTGCAGTGACTGCTGCTAATGGGCAGGAGGGTGCGGGCTCACAGCAGTGGATGGAGCAGGGAGAGAACCCCTGCACGTACCGGGTGCCTGCGCAGCTGATGGTGAAGGCACCCCGCAGTGTGTCCCTCACTGCTGAGCCACTACTGCGGGGAGCTGTGACCTGCACAGGTCTCCAAAACAGCCTCTGAGAGATCAGGGCCCGAGGGTGATGGGGATGCACGAAGCTGCTGCTGGTGATAGCGGCTGGGGCAGGATCTGCTCTGGGTCCCGGCTGGGCTGAGCAGGGGCTGGGGCATGCTTAGTGTAACCCAGGAGGTGGCAATGGCAACACACAGACCCTGGCACCGGGACACGGGGGTTCGGAGCTCCGGCCCTTGTCTATGAGGGGTGTTTTCACACGGCTGCTCCCTGGAGTGATGCCAACACAACAGAAAATACCTTTTACTATGGAAGCTGCCCATGTGCTGTGGTTGGTTTGTGAGCTCCAACCGCCTTGCACACGTTTGTGCATGGAAGTTACCCTTCTTTCCCTTCCTCCCCTTCTTCCCTTCCTAGTTTTCCCTATGCCACATTGGACTGCGAAGGAGCAGCTCTGCACTGGGTGTCCAGCAGAGGGTACTGCAGGCCCTGCCTGTGGGGCAGCAGCCTCAGCCCCCGCTGTCCGTCATCCCCAGCAGTGCCAAGGGGCACCGAGGGCAGCGCCGGCCCTAGGATGCTGCTGTGATCCGTGGCTCGCAGGGCACCGCCGCGTGTGCGGGCACAGGCTCCTCTCGTGCCTCGCTGCTGCCTTTCGGCCGCTCACCTCCTCCCTGCCGTCCCCCCCGTTCTGCACCCGCGCTGTGCTTGCTGCAGGGGCGGTGGGAGCCCGGCTCGCTTCAACACCTCCCACCGCGGCCGCCTTCGCAGCTGCACCGGCTGCTCCCTCCAGGGCCGAGCGCTGCTGGGGCCGCAGGAAGGCCAGGCTGCAGCCTGCAGCTCAGTGACACGCGTTCAGTCACCTCGTCTTGTCCCTACCCATGGATCTGAGCCCTCAGGGCACATCAGTGGAGGGTCAGCCAGTTCCCCCCGGCAGCCCCAGTGCCCCCGGGTGCTGCTGGAGACCCAGGGGGGACCTGAGAGAAAAGATTTGTGAGGAACTCAGAGACTGAGAAACTCATTCTGATAAATCAAACCACATCCATGGGATACCAGGAACTGGGGCCTGAGGTCACCCCAGAGGGCCCCCGGGGCAGGGGGGTTCTGGTTGTGAGGCTGGGGTCTGTGGATCTGCTCCTTGGATCATCCCACCCCTCGGCATCACATGCACCCGACCGAGGCAGGTTGAGCCCATCAGGCTAAAGGGGTCTCATTCAAACTAACCAGCCTGTGCTTGGAATGTGGAACAATTGAGTCTTGTTCTTCGGGGGGATCCTCTTTCCTCCGCTGAGACCGAAGGCTCGTGCCAGCAGAGTCGCTCTTCCTTCTTCATCTCTGCTTGGCTCCATTTGGAAGAGATCAGCGGAGCGCTGCTTGACACCCAGGTTAAGAGCTTCCCTCCGTCCCAGCCTCGGCTTCCGGTTTTGCTGAGCTGGGAAGCGCGGCTGGAAATTAATGGGCAAACTCTGGGGAGGGGATCTGGGAAGCGAACTCGGAGCAGGTTTGCAAAGGGGCTGCTCTGAAGGGCCCTGATTCGGGTGGAAATCACCAGTGGAAACCTGAGGTTTCTCAGGAGTTCGCTGCCGAGGAGTCAATGGCCGAGAGTTGAGGCTGTCCAGAAACACCCCGGTAATTAACCAGGGGAGTGCTCCTTATGCTTAACTCGAGGAATCCGACCGCGTGTCTGGGTTCAAGCTCTCCCTGCAGTGTTTGCAGCCCGAACACGGGGGAGCACCTGGACCGCGCCTCGGACAACGCCCGTCCCGTGTGTGCGGGCAGCGGGGTCCGGGGGAGCCCCGGCAGCGGCACCGCGGCTTCCTAGAGCGGGAGGCGGCGGCGGGAGGGAGCGAGGGGGCACGGGAAGGGGAAAGGGGAAATTCCCACTGGGAGAACAGCGAAGGCGGCGGGAACCCCCCCTACCCCCCCCCGCGCCCGGGGCCGGGCTCCCGCAGACAAAGGGGCGGCGGGGCCGGGCGGCTCCTCCCGCCTGCCCGGGGCGGGGGCAGGTTTCCGGGGGGCGCGGGGCAGCGCTGCCGAGTCCGTGGGTGCCGTGCCCGTGGGTGCCGTGCCCGGAGCCCCCGCTTTGTTCGGGGGGATGCGGCGCGCGTAGAGCCGGG